TTCAATCTGGAAGATCGAACCTCAACAGAAGAAAGATTAAGTACATGAGACTGAACTGATGAAACAACATTCTGTGACTTGACTAAAATATTGCTGCTTTTCTTCTAAGCTTTGTTGTCCGGCTTTAAAGGATTTTTGTCCTGTCTTGAGCTGTCGATAGGTACATGTACCTACTATTTGAACAGAATAGTAACCTGTTTCTAGGCTTTAAGTTTGATGTGTCATATTTTATTAGTGTTATTGACTGAAGCATATAATCCATGAGTCTGTGTAACCTATAGTCATTTTAAAATAACCACTGACAAAACGCATAAAAATACATCCATACCATAAGTTTATGTATTAAATTAAGAATAACTAAGCAAAAGAGATTTATTTTGGGGGGCTGAAATTATATGGTTATATCAGTTCTTTATTTCTTTTGTTTTTCCCTAGCAACCACTATTACTATTGGGAAGGGGCCTTGAAATGAAAGCGGGAAAAAGAGTAAACAACAGGTGGGGATTCCACTACCTGGTGTCTAAGCTGCATCCCTTCCGAATTTCATTTCCCCTTATCTACAAGTGGTATGAGGAAAGCTTCAATCACTGAGTATTAGTGCACTGACAATCACTGCACCTGTACCAGGATATCCTAGGCCTATATAGTAGAGCATATCTGTAACATCTTCAAATCACTACTCTACATGAAATACATAGAATAGGAAATACTCTATAATGGAATTCTTACAAGTAGCACCTACATTTGAACCCTATCATTGCAGGCAGTGCCTGTAAAGTAGAATCATCTACCAGTGCCCCATTTATACTATTGATACATCTCACCCTGTTTTAAACAAAGGTGGCCTAAAACAAAGCAGACTGCTAAATAATACCCCCAACTCCCCTGAAATAAGCATTCTCTAATCTAAAAGAACCAAAATACACAAACTCATTCATAATTTAAAATACATTGAGATCACCTTAATATGAGGGAGAATTGATTTTCATACTCCTCCAGAAAGCAGCAGATCTGGAATGAAATTAATATTATCTTATTGGTTTATCTTAAAGGAAGAACAAAGCACTAACATTTCTTTCTGCTATTTTTTTTCATAATCAAAACAGATTATGCAGAAAATTCCAAACAGATTATGCAGAAAACTCTTCTCTAATTTAAAATCAAAGCAAACTAGGATGTTTAAATACCTAGAAGTTTTCATATCTGGTATAAATTCAATATTGGCACACCCAGCCCCACCGCTAGTTAACTGTATGAGAGAAAGTCAGGGTCCCTGTCTGGGCCTCAGTATCTCTTCTCCTTCCACCATGACTGACAGAAACCTTCAATTACTGCCATGGCAGTAGCTTCACTGGCTATCCCCTCCTGTAAGTTATTTTCACCTGCTCCTATATTTTGCTTTAAAAAATTCAATCCCTCAAAGTCTGCAATGAAAATCGTTACTGGACCCAATGAAATTATCATTAGATGTATTTGAATATCAGAAGTAAATATTATTATTTAGGGCCAGAAGCTAAGGTGCACAGAACAGGATTCTCTTTATATCCTCAAGTCTTCTGAGTGCCCTGATTTTCCTCATCCTTTGTCCTTCTGCCCAAGTATATTATTCAATAGATATATTAGCTCTAATTGTCTGGGTCTCAATCTTCCCCTTTCCCACTTATTTCCTAGTCACCTCACCCCTCAGAATAGGAGGCTATCAGCACATTCCACAACATAACTATATGGAATAAGTAGACTATTTATCCTATGTATTCTTCTGATAACCAATAATTTATTAAAAATGAGGTTGGATTCCTAGTGCTGGGTGGCCTTCTATCAAGCTCCCAATCCGCAGTACCAATATTCACAAACATACTATAGGATTTGTTTTCCTATCCCCTAAGAAGGCTCCCTCTATTATTCTCTAAGAATTATGTGCATGCTATGCACACACACACACACACACACACACACAACTACATAATTAAGCCCTGACAAAACCACCGCAAGGATAATTCTCCCTGCATTTCTCCCAAAGGGAATTGAGTAGATCAAGCTTAGTTTGGCCTGAGTGTTGCTGTGAGCCATCTTCCCAATCCTCTCTTTAACTTACAGAGAGTATACATTCTGAAAGGCCAGCCTGATTATTCCAATAAGGCGTTTATTCACATCTCTGATTGGCAGAAGATGCTTTAGAATGTAGACACCATTAAGTTTATCAGCTGAACTCATCCTTCTTACTAGTGCAACTTTTACTCTGTAACAAGGCAAAGAGATTTATAATCTATGTTGTTTGGAATTTTGTTCTGTAAAACAAATACGCTGCGAAACCAATGGATAATTTGCATATTAGATTATTATCGCTGTCTTCATGTTAATCAAGGAAAAAATAAAGATAGAATAATTTGGATACTTAGCAAAGTGAATAACCCTACCAGGTTCTGAAATGTTCTAACCTTTGTATTTGTCTGGTCTTTTTCTGCACTGAAATAATAATAAATTACATTGCTGTTTTTCCTAACACTAACTAAAAAACAGTGCTTATTAATTTAACAGTACTTATTAATTCTAAATGATTTTACTGAAAAAGGTTTGAACTCTTCAGGATATTCAAACACGGAATTGTAAAGATGTCAAGTTACTACATTTTTATGACAAACAGCAATTAATATAACAAATAATAGTAAATTCAATTTATGCCAGAATTAATTTTTCACACAAACATGATTCTTTCATCATGGACAAATTAATGAATTATTCAATACAGAAAATGTTACATTTTCCACAAATTAACTAAGCATCAATGGTATGCCATGTGTAGTTTTATTACAAGTAACCTCATCATAATAGAAGCCAGTTAGTTCACAATCGATTGTAACCAAAGAAATATAAGGCTAGCCAAGAGTTTCTAAATTGTTCTACCCTGTGATTTCAAATCAGCTCTTTAGGACAACTGTGTTTACATGAAACAACAGCCTGTTAATCCTGTATGTCTTCCACAGAAACAATAGAATTGTCAAAACAATAGAAATTCTTGTTTTTTACTATTCAACACACCCATCCTTGTTCAGCACTTCAGAGTTGAAGTGTTAACTTCTTTCCCGAAACGCTCAAAGCATCAGGGTTTCCACAGAAGTTTCTTACGCCATTCCCCCACCCCCAAACGCCCAAATCAAATCTTTCTCGAAGACACTTACCCCAAAAAACAGTGAGCTAGATGAGAGAGTGTGCTCATGCCTGCAAACAATTAGCTAGTAAACATGTAAACGGACAACTAGCACTTTGAAAGTGCATATTTTTAGCCATTTTTTTTTTCAGGGAAAGGTTAGCCCAGCCCAAAGTAACAGACTCTGAGCTGCTGCAGCTTCTTACTGCAAACTGCTCATTCTG